TGTAAGTAGTTTGCAGTTAGATTTTCTCTCTTGCTGCATTTTAACATTCTCTTATAGTAGTTTCGTCATGGAGTTTTTGAGATTCAATCTACATATAATTAAATGAACAGATTAACATTTATTTTGAAATGAGTTTAGTCTTCTCTTCTTTTGGATAAACACTTTCTGCATATTTCCTCCTTTTCTCTCACTTTTCATGTATTTTGGCCTTAATTTTGTATCCAGCCTACCTCTGCCTTTTCAATGAAATGATTTCTATTTGACGTAGTTAAACCTTGATGATTCACTACTTGATTCGCTAGGGTTGCATTTGAGAATGTGGGCTGTATCTAAACAAAACTACAGTTAATGCACGTATCAGCAATGAGTCGCTTTACACGAACGTCAACACACTGCATGCTAGTTAATGGCACTTGCTTCCTGAAGTAGGCTCCTCCCCCTCCATGGTTCTGAAGAAAGTAGCCATGACCATCTCTTTCCTTCTTAGGCTGCGAAGTGGAGATTCTCGGTGTCAGACCTACTTACTGCCTAGAATATAAAACTGTCCCAACGGATGTCAATTTTGCCAACGCAGTCAGCGACGCTCTTGACTCATTCAAGTAAGTGGCCCAAGCTCTTAGCCATACCACTGCTTCATGACTGCTAATGTGAACTGAGAAGGCTTGGCGTGGTGCAAAAATTCTCAGTGGTGGGCATCTCACGTGGTGACTGTTTGTTAGCTGTGAGCAGAGAGTGATTGTGAGCAAAGCTCAGGCAGGAGCTCTCTCTGGAAATGCTGAATGGAGATCAAGAACATCCTCAAGGGCCTGGAACTTTCTTTTTCATATTGATGGGCAAAAAGAAACAATATGAATGTCAACCTTTCTCTAATCCTGATTTACTGAATGCTTGTGCCTGGGGAGATAGTAATAAGTATTTGGCAAAAAAAAAAAAAATACTCTCCCCAAAGGGAAGATCTGTGGTGAAAATTTGCCTTTTCTTCTCTCTTCTTTCTTCTAAAGGTTTATTTACTTATGCATACAAGAACTGGGGTACAGGCCAGAGGTGCAGAGGGTGGTGTGAGGACTAACCAGATACAGAGTGGGGAGCAGAACAGGCCGACTGACGAAGTACACTGCTGAGGGGAGCAGTGGGGAGACAGGAGAGGTCTGTTGCGCCCTGTGGGTCACCTCCCTGGCTGGGGATCGAGCTCATGCTGCAATGGCTGTGGATTGCTTCATAGTGCTGCGCTTTACCCCGCTGCGTGCTCAGGGAGGCCTCCTCTTCCCTGGGAATTGTGCAAGGCCATAGCATGTTAAAACAGAGAATCTATTTTGTTTCCTCCTGCCTGGGTATATGACATAGCTTGAAAAGCGCAGAGGTAGGCAATGCCATCATCCTGACTCTGCAGTGAGAGGCCAGCACAGAGCCTCAGGTCGGTCTCAGCAGAAGGGGAAACCGAGGGGGAGGCCACAGGGGGTCTGTGCTGGGCACCAGGGACCCTGAGGGTGAGGATGTTGGGGGTCTCACTGGGGCTGGCCTGCAGGTCACCTTAGCTGCTGGGTGGGTCTCCAGGGTGGGGCCGAGCAGGTGACACTCCAGAAACAGAGGGCCAGGACGAGCTGTGTCTTCCTGACGGGCCCATGCACCAAGTCCTGGCGACTCCAGCTAGCAGATGCGTCGGGACAGAGCCCGCGAGCAGCTTGCCTAGGCCTGGCGCTCGGTTCCCAGCACTCTCCGCGGGACCGGCCTGAGGGTGCAGCGACACAGCTGGCCACTTCCGAACCCCAGCAGCCTCCCTCCCCCCGCAGCCCGGACGGGTGTCCCAGCGCCTATCTGCTAGCGTGTGCCACGGGGGTTACTGCCACCGAGCCACTTTTCTCCCTCTGTCTCGCACTTGGGTGCACTCTCTCATGGGAGGCCCCGACTCTGGGGCCAAACGCCTTGCCTGGGGTTTCCCTCAGCTGGTGAGTGGCGGAGTCCAGGTCTCTGGGGACTTAAGAGCCAGTGTCCTGGGGCCTCCCTGAGTGTGAGGTGACTGAAAGCTCCTTTCAGTGAACTCTGTAGTCCATGCCACCCCTGCCCCCTGCGCACACCCCCAGCATTCTAAAATGCTGGCACTAAGTCGAGGGTGGGGGGGTGCTGGGAGGTGGAAGGGTGGCTTCCCTGGGATTCTCCGTGGCCCCCCGGGCCTGGGTGTGCCCACCGGCTGCCAGAGTAGCAGCTTTTGTGCCTCAGCAGCGCACAGCCCAGACTCCACCCAAGGGGGTGCACCTGCCACTCACCACTCACCTGCCAGAAGAGACACCTTGTGATGCGTGGACTTAGCCCTCCTCCCAGAAGCTGTTTGAGGATTTGGAAGCTTCAGCAGGCAGGGAAGGTGTGGTCCTCGAGCCAAAATAGCTTGGGTAACCCGCGGGGGGCAGTGGGGACCGCTGAGCACCCAGGCTGGCTGACGCGGCCTGACGCGGCCCTTGAGCGGGAGGGCTGTGCCTGCCCGCTGCAGGTGCGGAGTGAGGCCGCCCGCTGTGCGACTGCCCTTTGCTGCCACACAGGGTGTTGAGGAGAGAGAAAGGGTTTCATGCAGGAAAGCCCCAGGCCCTGGCCAGAAAGGGAACAAGGTCCCGTAGGCCTGGGGCCAGGCTGAGAGCAAAGGGATCCATCTCGCTGGGAGCAGGGGGCTGGGAGCAAAGAAGTGTGGACGAGGCCGAAGTTCCTTGCCGCTTACAGGCAGCTCGGGCGTGGCGTGGCCTGAGCAGACGCCCCGGGTCGGGCCAGGGCAGCCCCTTCCCTGTGCCCTGGCCAGCCTGGGCCCAGCTCCAGGCCAGCAGCTGCTGCGAGGCGGTACCACTGTCGATGAGCTGCAGGCTCCGGTGCTTGTGAAAACAGCGAACTTCAGACGCTTCAGCTTCCTTTTGCGCTCGAAGGTCTGAGGACAGTTTCAGCGCTGACCGCTGGTCACAGGCTTAGGCCATTCCCAGGCGTTTCTTTCAGGATCAGGAATCCCAGTGCCGCTGGGGCTAGTCAAGGCCCAGATGGGTTTTGTCCCTGCCACAGGCCACCAGACGGAGGTCTCCGTGCTGCTCCTTGTCCCTCCTCCTGGGGCTCCGAGGAAGAAGGAGCCAGAATGCGGACTGGGCGCCATGGGGTGTCCTCTCTGCTTGGCACGCAGGGAAGAGCCATCTGGGGTGTCTGGGAGGAAATGGGAAATATTTCTCTCCCTTTGCTTCCTTTTTTTTTCTTTCTCTCTTTTTTAAAAGATTTTTGTTATTTATTTGTGCACACAGAACTGGGGTACAGGCCATAGGTGGAGGGGTGGTGAGAGGCTTCACCAGAGACAGAGTGGGGAGCAGAACAGACAGATTAATGAAGTACACTGCTGAGGGGAGCAGCGGGTGGTTCGGAGAGGTCTGCCGCGCCCTGTGGGTCACCTCCAGGGTGGGGATTGAACTCATGCTGAGGTGGCTTCAGCTTCTCAGTGCTGTGCTTTAAAAACCCACTGCTCCGGCCCTCCCTGGTGGCGCAGCGGGTTAAAGCACAGCACTGAGAATCTAGAGCCGCTTCCGCATGAGTTCGATCCCCGCCTGCCCCGGAGGTGACCACATGGCGTGGCAGACCTCTCCTGATCTGCCCGCTGCTCCCCTCAGCAGTGTGCTTCGTCGATCTGCCTGTTCTGCTCCCCACTCTGTCTCTGGTGAATCCTCTCACCCTCCGCGTCTCTGGCCTGTACCCCAGTTCTGTATGCACAAATAAATAAATCTTTAAAACAAAAACAAACAACAAAAAAAAAAAACACTGCTCCACCAGCGAGGGCCCTTTCTTTCTTTCTTTTTATTGCATACAAAACTGGGTGGGATATAGGCCAGAGGTGTAGGGAGTAAGAGGAGCCACCAGAGACAGAGTGGGGAGCAGAATAGGCAGGTGGACTGAAATACACTGCTGAGGGGAGCATTATGGAGACAGGAGAGGTCTGCCGTGCCATGTGGGTCACCTCTCTGCCTGGGAATCAAACTCCTGCTGCAGTGGCTGCAGATAGCTTTATAGTGCTGCATTTTTTTTAAAGATTTGTTTATTTATGCATACAGAACTGGGGTAGAGGCCGGAGGTGCAGAGATGATGAAAGGATTCACCAGAGACAGAGTGGGGAGCAGAAAAGTCAGATCAACAAAGTACAATGCTGAGGGGAGCAGCGGGTGGGCCAGGAGACGTCTTCCACCCCACGTGGATCGCCCCGGGGGCAGGTGGGGATTGAACTCAGGTGGAGGTGGCTTTAGCTTCTTACTGCTGTGCTTTAACCTGCTGCGCCACCAGGGAGGGCCCAGAGAGCTGCATTTGAACCTACTGCACCACCAGGGAGCCGCCCCGCCTCTTGCTTCCTTCTCACTGAGCGCCAAGCGCTGTACAAACATCGAGGTGTTTGGTGCAGGTGCGACACTTCAGACAGGAAACTGGGGCTTGGAGCTATTTCTGCCGTTCACTGCACTCTCAGCTTAGTCAGAGAAGGCAGAATTGGAGCCTGGCATTGTCTAGTTCTCATGCCCTATCAAAGATGCTAAAGTTAAACTTTGTCATGTGGACACTACAGATAGAGATGAGGATTATGCCTGAGTCCAGATTAGTGTATCACGGAGGGAAGCAGGAGAGGGTAAGGGAGGCTCAAAGAAAATAGGAGAAATTTCTCAGAAGGAAAAAAAAAATGGCAAATGATAAGTTATGGTTTGTGCTTAATGTGGAAACGCTTGGCAAGTTAAAAGATAACAAACCAGAGTCTTTGCCACTGCTGTCTCCATCGGACAAAAATAATTTTCATCGGGTCAGTTTCCTACAAGCTAACAGTCACACTTGCAGAGTCTGGGCTCTACAGGAGTTAAATCTGGTGACAGCGCTCCATGTGGCCATGGGAAACAGGCAATTATTTTTTGGTCTCATTTCTAAATGTTGTGTTCTTTTTCTTTTTTTTTAGATTTATTTATTTGTTCATACAGAACTGGGGTACAGGCCATAGGTGGAGGGGTGGTGAGAGGCTTCACCAGAGACAGAGTGGGGAGCAGAACAGACAGATTAATGAAGTACACTGCTGAGGGGAGCAGCGGGCGGGTCAGGAGAGGTCTGCCGCGCCATGTGTTCACCTCCGGGGGCAGGCGGGAATCGAACTCATGCAGAAGTGGCTTTAGCTTCTCAGTGCAGTGCTTTAACCCGCTGCGCCACCAGGGAGGGCCCGTGTTATTTTTCTTAACAATCGAAATTTCAAGGACCGCCCCTCCCCCCATCTCCCCGTAACTCTTTTCTAAGACCCCTCAGGTGACTCAGATCGCCTGAGGGTCCCTGGGTGCCCCTGAGTCCCCTCGGCTGGGGCCCCTGGCACCAGTTAGCCATGCTGATGGCCAAACATCCTTCTGGCTTGGTTTCTGAGCCAGGTTAAAGCTATAAACTATCCATATAAGAGAGCTGCAGGCTCCCTGCTCAACCACCCCGTTACAAATGAGCTGCTTGCTGAGGGAGACCAGGCCCATGTGGAAAACAGCTGGCCATGAACACGTTGTCAGCTGGGCTCCAAACAGACCAGAACTCTCAGCCCTCGAAGACATAAGTCCCTAAGGAATCAGTGAAACGCCAACACAGAAACCTTCCAGAAAACGCACAGGCACAGAGCCTGGATCGCAAGCACCCTGAGTCTACTCTCCCTGGTGTTTGGGGTTGCCAGCTTCCTGACACAAAGCCAGCAGGTCCATGGTGATGCTTAACTGGCCTTCAGAGCACACAGTGTTGTGCTGGCCGATAGGGTGGGCAGCCCCTGAAACCAGTCTGGTGTCTGCTGTAGAAGAGTGAGGCGTCCGCACTGTAAGGTCTTCAACCTTATGTCATGGAAAACCTGGTTTGTGGAATTTTTCCTACATACAAACCCCGCCCCAGAAGTGTCCACGCGTCAACATGTTGTGTGAATCGGCACAACGGGGGGCTGATGTGAGAGTTGGTTTAGTGGGAGAGTCCAGTATGTTTTAAGTACCGGGGCAGGGAGGAGGCCCCACGAGCTCCTGTGGGTGATGAGCAAAGCTCTCCACAGAGCTCGGGATACACATGAAAAGGTCGGTACCTGCGAAAAACTGTGGCCTACCGCCTACCTGCTCACGGGCCCTGCAGTGGGTTTCTGGTCTCTACTGTCAGCAGATGCAGAGGGAGCTTGGTGAGTATCAATAATGATAGTATCACTTGGAATAAGCTAAATAATCAGTGAGGCCCAGCCCCGGCGCCCAAGAGAGTGGTCACAGGGCTGTGTGGCCCAGTCTGTCTTGGCCTAGAAAGAGACATGAACATCAAACTAGCAAATTTTCCAAACTTGAAGCCAGTGTGTCATCCAAGCCATGAAGGAAATAGCCTCAAGTTACCCCGAGACCTGCCCTGCGAGAGCTGTGCCCTCTCAGCAAGGCCAACGTAGTGAGGGAGACAGTGGGCTGGGGAAGTGTCCTGACCCAGCACTACGAGATTCTCATTTCCCAGCCTGGTCAGGTCTCAGAGGCCTGTGAGGCCCTGAGTAACAACTCGAATCCTGGTCAGTCTGTTTCTTCACCTGCTGAGCCTCAGGGCATGGAGCACCACCCCCAGGTGAGCAGGAGCTGTTCGGCTGTGGTGCAGCCACACTGTCTGAAGCACTGAGACCATGTTTCCTCCTCTGTGCTTTGTAAGACACAGCAGGCTCTGAAGAGGCCCATTCCGCATTCCTGGTGTGCCAGGGGCTGAGGAGAGCGCAGGACGAGAGAGCAAACCACCTCGTGTGTGTGTTCAAAATACAGCTTTTCAAGAAAAATCAGGCGATCCTCCCGAGTATTAGTGACCGACCTTTGTAACGTCCGTGCAGAGGAATTAGACGGAATTATGTTTTCCATAGTTTCATCTTTGGCATTGTAGTTGCTACCAATGCCACCACCGTCACCAGCACCATTACGGCCACCACCATCACCACAGCCACTAGCACCACCACCACCACTGTCACTAGTCTACCACAGCCACCACCACAGCCACCTCAGCCACCACCACTGCCATCACTACCATAACCTCACCACAGCCACCTCAGCCACCACCAGCACCACCACAGCCACCAGCACCAGCACCATCACTGCCATCGCCACCACCATGATATCTGTTCTGTTGGGGTGTCTTGTAGGGAGGTCACAGGCAAAGCCAGAGCACAGAGGGGAACTGGGGTGGAAGGCACCCTGGGAAGGAGGGCGGGCACTACAGTGGCACCTCCCTGCCTGCACCAGCCTCCTCCCCAGGTGATGTCACCAGTTCCGGTCACTCCTAGCCCAGCATCCAGGGCTAAGTAACTGGATTTTTCCCACCCTCACTCTGGCCATGAGCGGGAACCAGGGGTCTTCCTGGGGTCCAGAGAAGTGTGGTCATTGCTGGGCTTGATGCCTGGAGCAGACCCCACGTGTCCCGTGGGGTCAAGGTTGTGGCGTGTCAGATGAGAGCGCGCCCTGACCGTTCCCCTGCTTGCCATGCTCGGGCTGTCCACGTGTGAAGCTTGTACCTGTCCTGCCAGTCAAACACACGGCCTAACGCTTTCGAGACTTGCTGAAGTGGGGCGCGAGCCCAAAGCCTGGTGGAGGTGGCGGCATCTTGCTTCCCTGATCTCCTCATGACACAGGAGGTGAGCGTGGCGCTGTGCGAAGTGGCCCCGCTCGTCAGTCCATCTGCCAACTCTCCGGGCAGGGCCAGTGAGGTTGCGGAGCAAAGCGAGGAAGCGACCGTCGCCCTCCGTGTGTCACCCAGCCTTGGTGCATGGGCCCGCTTCTCCCTTGAAGATGAGCCTTCTTCAGTTTAGGGCATCCGCTTGGCTTGGGGGATCTCATGCCTTCCCCAGGACTGGCTGAGGGGGATAAAGCTGGGGAGGGCGGGACGGTGTGACCCACGTCTCTCTCCCCTGCCGGCTCTAGGAGTGGCCGGGCTGACCTCGCGGCCATATACCACGAGCGCATCGACGTGGAAGGTCATCACTACGGGCCTGCATCACCCCAGAGGAAAGACGCCCTGAAGGCTGTGGACACCATCCTGAAGTACATGACCACGTGGATCCAGGTGACCCAAAGCCCGGGCCTAAAGTGGGACCCCCATTCTTTCTGGGGGATCTTTCTCTCTGTTTCGTGACTGTCACCCCTCCACATCTTCCTTCCTGCTGTTGACAGTGGACCAGTGGGTCCTTTGGGACCTGTTCTCTTCAGGTACCAAAAGAGCCTCTCTGCCCCACATCCAGGCCTGTGGGATTGAAACGACAGAGTCTGTGCTCCATCCTTTACCACATGTGCTGATTCTGCAGAAGCTTGGCCTAAGAGTCAGATCGCAGTTTGAGCCCGCGGCGCTTTCCTGACTTGAGGGAGCGATTTTGTGCAAATTTAAACTTTCTAGTGCTTTTATTTTCCACATCTGTTCAGTGGAGGCCACTGACACACAGATTTGTCTCAGAGTTGAAAACAGAGAGGAACCATCCAAGCTGCCCGCCATGGGTGTTACTTCCGGCACGACTGGAGGGGGGCTGTTCCCCACCTCTCCCCAACGTGTTTCTGTGGTGACCCTGAACTGTGTCCCCTCAGGCAGAACAGCAGGCGACTCAGTTCAGAACGCAGACCGGCCCCGGCCTCCCGGAACCCGCCGTCTAGCGCCCTTTCCCAGGTTCCCCCGCGAGTGCGTGGGTCCGCGGCGCCGCCTTGACGGCCTCTGTCCCCCACAGGAGCGCGGGCTGCAGGACGACCTCAACGTCATCATCTTCTCAGACCACGGAATGACTGACATTTCCTGGGCGGACAGAGTAATTGAGCTGAATAAGTACATCAGCCTGAGTGACCTGCGGCAAGTGAAGGACCGAGGCCCGGTGGTGAGCCTTTGGCCGGCGCCCGGGAAACTCTCTGAGGCAAGAGGCGCCATGTTGGGGAGCACGGCGGGAGGGCGCGGGGCAGGTGGGGCTCTCCCTCGGTGCTCATTCAGCCCAGCTTTGTGCTTAAGTTTGTTCTGGAACTTGAGCACCGACAGAGCCGGAGTCCAGAGGCTGCGAGCTTGTCTGCCACCCCTCCCCGGGTGACCTCAGCCAAGGTTCATCGTCTGGTGGGCATCAACAATAGGCGTGATGGGGCTCTCCTTGGATTTTTTTTTTTAATATTTATTTATTTATTCACACAGAACTGGGGTACAAGCCAGAGCCTCTGGTGAGAGGAGTCACCAGAGACAGAGCAGGGAGCAAACAGGCAGATCGAGAAAGTCCACTGCTGAGGGGAGCAGCGGGCGGGTCAGGGAGGGCTGCGGTGCCATGTGGGTCACCTCTGGGGTGGAATCGAACTCACACTGAGGTGGTTGCCGCCAGCTGCAGTGCTGCATCCTAACCTGTTGCACCACCGAGGAAGGCCCTCTCCTTGGATTTTAGCAGAACTTACGGGACATCAGAGATAGGCAGGACTTAGCATGGTGAGTGCCTACCCCTCAGTAGGGTTTTGTAATTATTGACCCAAAAGCAGCACTTCCAGGGCACCCCTAGGAATTCCGGGTGCCAACGTACAGTGCTCCGTGTTCCTGCTGACAGAGGTGACATTCCTTCAGTGACTGTGGAGGTTCCAAGTGTCAGTTGCTCATCTCAACAGCTGTGTAGCTCACACCAGGCCGCCACCAACACCTGGCCACCGTCCATCACAGACCACACACCCCGTCTGTGCCTCCCCCCGAAAGCTGCCAGCCGGCTCTTGTTCCATCGGGGAACTGAAGACAGCGTGAACAGATGAGCACAGACTGAGGCCTGTGTGTGGTGACTGTTATCTCAGCTCAGGAAGGGATGTCGCTGTGAAATAAGCCGGAGGGAGCAAGAGGAGACCGAGAAGCAGACGAGGGTCAGGCAAAGACAAACTTTAAAAGCAATGCTTGAAAACTGACCACAGATCTGAGGCCTCCAGAAAGGGAGGGGGAGAGTGAGGAGGACGAGCAGGGACGGGGGCACCGCAGACTGTGGGGCTGGGTGGGGGAGCCACAGCCACCACACGAAGGCCAGAGCCCTGTGCTGCTGACATATTAACGCGATGTCAAAGTGACGCTTCAGAAATAAGGTACAGCCCGGCCCCTCCTCGTCCAGTGGCCAGGCGGCTCCATCCCCTGGCCCTCTGCTCCCTGCCGCTGACGGGGCGCCTTTGTACCCAGCACGCGGAAGCTTGCTGGTCCCGCTGCCAGCGCCACTACCTGGGACCATGGAAGGGGTGTGTCCCAACGGGGTGACTCCGAGCCCCCGCTCTGCCCCCACAGCCACTGCCTTGCAGAAACTCAGTACCTGAGTCCACAAGAAATCGCAGGTACTGTGATAGAAGAAATCGCCTGTGGGGGTGCGAACCCCGGGGTAGTGGGGCTGGGCCCCTCCTCCTGCCCTCTGTACTGGCTCGGTGGAGTGCCGGCTTCAGCCCCGAGAGTGGACCCTTCTCTCTACCCGGCCCACTCTGACGGACGACGCTAAGCGCCATCTGTCCCCTGACAGTGACGCACCTGCCCAGCCTTGCTCCAGCTGCAGCTGGAGGCCCCCTGTTTCTTCAGGTCCCACGGCCGGGAGTGGAGGTGCTGAACACATTTACACTGTCCCCATGGACTCCCTAAGTATGGATCAGGGAGAACACTTTGCACAGTGGTGGGTCCTTCCGCCAGTGGCTTCGCGCAAGGAAGCGCTGTTTTCCTGGCAAGTGAGCGTCCTGTCTGCAGCTCAGCTCTTAGGGACAGCCGTCTGCAGAATGCGGAAGAGCCGAGAGCACTTCCAGCATTTGTGTTAAGTCGGGCGCTTGCAAGCTGCCCAGGGCAGTTGGCAGACTATTCCAAGCGGGGGCTGTGTTTGGGCGACACTTCGTCATGTGGCAGACACAAGAACGTGTGAGTCCTGTTCTGCGCCACCAGATTTCCCACTTATTCAAAATCTGCAAGTGCACCCTGCTTCCTCAGGAACTATGGATTCTCCTAAGGGGATGATCAAACTCCTGGGCCTTCTGAAGCCTCTACCAAACAGCTTAAACGCTAATTACTGTTCAGCATTGCACTGATCAATTCAATTTTTGTATCCCATGCTACCTAGGGAATGTGCCTGATTTGGCTAAAGACCAACAAGTCGACATTAGCCAGTTGGTTATAGTTTTGGCTGTATGCATGTAAGCTGCTGCTAAATATTGGAAACATGTACTGTTTACATCCGAAGCAAGAAATTAGCAGTGTAACTAATGCCAACGGTTACAAGTACATTTAAGACGCAAGTGCGCTGTGCTCTAGGTCAAGTCAAAGAACGGTCTTTCTCTAACCTGGCAATAATTAACATTAAGCAGATTGACTCATTTGTCTTTTAATTTTATCCTATTTTTGTCGAAAAGACGTTTTTACGTCTTGTTCTTTAATGATTCTTAACATCCTTGTTAAGAGGAGGACATTACCCTACTGTGGCATCGTCTATGTATCTTTCCAGTGAGCCGCCTGGACGCTGCCCTCTTAGAGGCAACCATTGCCCTAAATTTTGAGATATTATTTTAATAAATCTCTTACAGTTTGATCATATGCATTCTTAAGTTTTTCTGTCATTAGTGCTTCGTACAATGAGAATACTGTTGTCTATATTCCACTACAACATGCTTTTTTAAAAAGAAATCTGGGGCCCTCCCTGGTGGCACAGCAGGTTAAAGCACTGCACTAAGAAGCTAGAGCCACTTCCGCATGAGTTCGATCCCCGCCAGCCCCGGAGGTGACCCACAGAGTGTGGCAGACCTCTCCTGACCGCCCGCTGCTCCCCTCAGCAGTGTGCTTCATCAGCCGGCTTGTTCTGCTTCCTACTCTGTCTCTTTCACCGCCCCTGCACCTCTGGCCTGTACCCCAGTTCTGTATGCACAAATAAATAAATCTTAAAAAAAAAAAAGAAAAGAAATCTGAGAACCCGGGGATTCTTCCAGGCATTCCTTCAAATATAACTTAACTGTCTTCATTGTTGCATAGTATTCCACCTAGAAGCCCATTGTGATTCATTTTTCCTTCCACAGTTGCTGCAAGGCGGGCTATGCCCATGTACATTGTCTTTCCATCTGTGTGTCTACAGAGATACATGTATGAGGGGTTCTTTATCTTTTCGAGGTAACTGGTAGGGTATGTGATCTTCAGCCTTACTAGGTAAAGCCCCATGTTCTCTGACACATACAGAGATGTTTAACTACACCTCATTTTCATGCAGTTAAATCTGTCAGGGGTTTTGGTAATTTCTTGCTTTGATCTTATAAAGTGCAATAAATACTCACATATATTTCAGAAAACTACACCCTTGTTTTTCTTTTCTTTTTTGAAATTGCAGGCACAGTGTACTATAACATTATGTAAGGTGCAGGGGCTCATGCTTCATATTCTTGGTTTTCTCTGCAGATCTATACCAAACTGAGTTCAGTGGAACACATGACTGTCTACGAGAAAGACATGATACCGAGCAGGTTCTATTACAAGAAAGGGAGATTCGTCTCGCCCTTGACCTTAGTAGCAGATGAAGGATGGTTCATAACTGAGGTAACTGTGAAATATGCGACAATTCATTCCTGATGTAAATTCTGTCAAACAGTCCAAAGAGAAGCAAGAGTTGACATGTATTTACCCTGAAAAGATTTTGTTTTCAGTTAAACATCACTCATTTCATGATTTCCCTCTGAGAGAATCAAAAGTCTTGGTCAGGTGACTTTCTAAACAAGCTATAGACCAGCATCATGTTAGACTTCAGGACTCCAGACCTGCTGTATTTTCACCAACGTCCTTAACTCAATTACGCAGGCTCACAATGCAACCTATTCAGTTTAAAGTGGAGCAATTACTGTGAACCCCAGCAATTGCTTCAGGGCAGTGGAAAGCAGGGGGAGGCTTTGCTTTCACCTTTGAGAGAAATGTTTGGCAAACAAAACTCCACAGATCCAGGTCCCGGGATTGCCAACCCGATTTTACAGTGCAAATTATCTTGTATTTTGGGTCCACCCCTAATTGCCTCATGCCTCAGTGCCTGCAGCAGCCGCCTCCTGCCTGTTCACCTCCCAACGCACCAGGCTCTATCAGCTCCTGGTAGTGAGCCAGCCGGCGTGGGAAGGCCCCACCACTGGGTAAATTCCTGTTACATGTGGTTGGCATCCAGTTCCTGAAGAGGGCATGGGTTACTGCAGATAGGAACTTGAAGGTAGATTGCAAACAGGTCGGGTGAAAGGTGGCAGGTATCGGCACGTGCGAGTCTTCAGTGGAAGAAAACAAGGACACGATCTAAAACCAGAGTCCAACCTGCCAGACCTCAGGGTCACAGGAGGCTGCTGCACCCCTGAGCATCACATCCCTTAGGTCAGCCCAGAGCAGGAAGGAAGGGCGTGGCTTCCTCTTGGAGCCCTACTTTTATTAGGGAACAAAATACGCATCCCAGAATCAGGAGGGGAATATTTTGCCGGATTCTGATGATTATAAAATGTAGAGAAGGAGACCTTTCTTTAAGGAAGTAATACATCGTCATGATTTATAAATATATAAAGTTAGGTGTAGGATTTGCCACCAATCCCTGTAAGTGAGAGGCCCTTCAACCAGTTGAAGCTTCTTTAAGCGCGCTGTGATGCCAACACTCTCTGTGGTCTCATCAGTCAGCTCATCCCTGGGGTGCACATTGCCACCTCGGACCCACTTTGGACCTGAAACCAGCCTAAATGCAGCCCAGGGGGCCTCAGCAGGACACAGCTGGGAGTTAGGCAGGCAGGGGGCTTGCAACCTGGGACATGGAGAAAAGGAGGAAAGAGGAACGCCCACTGCATCATCTCCGGTTTCTACGGGCCAAGGCAGTGACAGGGCTGGGCAGGCCTCCGCCTGCCCTGCTCTGCTCCTGTAGCAGCCAACCCTGACCCCCCAGCATCCACCTGCTCCTCCTCTGAGGGTTCAAGTACCTCCTCCGCTGCAGAAAACGGGCAGGTTCCAGGATGCCCCGAAGGGGGAAGACACATGTTCATTCCCACTGTGTGGGATAGGATGTGGCGTCTGCGATGCCATGACCATCTACATTATATTATCATGTCACATCCTATTACATTAGAGCGGGTTATTTGTCATGGATCACACACATATTTAATCTGTGCTGGAGTAAATCAGAACTCAGTTGATCAATTAGCAAAGGGTTCCCTGTGTTTCTTTGTCTGGCTAAAGAAGGAGGGAGACACCACAGAGTGAAAAGGAAAAATATGTAACTATTGACAGTTACTTTGACAGCTTTTTCAAAATGTTATCCTTTCAAAAAGGAGATTTGAAGTCATTTTTAAAAACATCTTGAAGCAGAAAACTTTAAAAAAAAATAAATCAGAAGGAGATAAATAAGGTGTCGGGAAATTAAGTTAGTTCTGAAAGATTAGTGCTAACTCTCCAAGCATAAAGACAGCCAGTGGACACAGCATTGATTAGTTACATGGGCACTATAATGCTAATCTTCACTTATCCTGCCTAGATCATTGGACAATTTAGAGTGATTCCTCTCCCGAATTTGCAGTGATATGAACATAACATTATCTTACCTCTGCTGATAATAATCTATCAAGACAAATGTCCTAGACTTTTGGGTGACATTAGTCACAACAGCGATCTGATATCAAGTACTCCCCAGTACTCTGCTCCTCAGAGTTTCCGCACTGATGACACTCTTAGTCCTGAGAAAAACATACTGTTACATCAAATAGAGCAGAGAGAGTTCTGAGCTTCCTGGCTGCCAAGAGGAAGGGAGAAGTACGATCATGCACTGAGGAGGTCGGTATCCTGATTTTGGGTGTCCACTGTTGAATGCCTTCCCGAAGGTTCCAAAGCAACAATACAGCTAGAATTGGAACCTGAGGTGGCCAGGAAGCCCACAGAGTTCCAGTTTTACAAAGAGCCTCCAAGTCTTCTATCACAGGCCCCATGCAGCTCTGATTTCATGTTTTGGGCTCACTCTGCTGCTTCCCAGGGGCCCCGAGATGAGTCCCGGTGTTCCAGGGCACCCCAATGTGAAGTGGGCCGCCTGTCTGTGGGTCCTCACCTGTGCTCAAAATTCAGCTGTACTGCAGGCACACGCAAAAGGGTCAATAATGGGTTTATTTACAAAGGGGAAAGAAAAAGAACAACCCGGGGAAAGAGAGAGAGAGACGCAATTTAACCACGACATCCTACAAGTTCCGCTGACTTGGACCCCACAGAACACTGAAAGCTCAAGGACCAAGCTCAAGGCCACCAGCACGAGGCCAAGGGAGAGCAAGCCTCAGCTCAACATAGCTCCTCTCTGTATCCCCAAAAGTCTCAAAATGGCTGCTTAGCTCTGCCCTTAGGTCCTCACAGTCCTCCCTTTGGTATTGCTGGGAGTTGTAGTTTCGGTGGCTGGACTAGGAGGTGGAGTCCACAAAACCTGTATCTGCAGAGTTCCTTCAGGACGTCCTTTCCCCCCTAACATCAGCTCCTGCACATGGGCAGAAACCAGCTCTTCTGGGCTCACTCCTGCTTGTCTTGCTCTAGGGGCCACTTTGCTGCTCACTTGCTGTTCTTCTCCCTTCTGAACCCCCACTCCTCCCTTTTCCTTTTATCAACATGCTGATTTGCACATACATGAACCAAAGTTCTCATGACTGTGGAAATGACTATCCCAAGGTGAGAATGAAGTGCGGGGACTAAAGAGGGTGGGGAGAGGGAACAGCTGTCCCTCCGAGCCTCATGCTCCCCTGCCCCCACAGATCCAGAACTCAATAAATAGCCAGTAGCGTCCCCAGAACACAATCCCCACCCCAAGTCCCATCTGTCACTTAAGCCCAACTCTAACACCATCTTGTCCATGAAGTGCTCAACTGCAGCCATCTTGGAAGGCTCATGAAAACCTGAGTCACTTCCTTGCTGCCGTATTTGTCTGTCTGCTTTTGTGCTTTCCCTGCCTGGTGTGCAAGTGCCTCAGGAGAAGTTCTGTGGCCCCTTGACCTTTGTTTTCCTCCATGGAACGTCATTCAGGGCAGAACTGCCCAGGCCCAAGCAATTGAGGCCCACGTTGGCTGTTGCTTGGTTATTTGTGACTGAATGAATTCATAAATGGGGAGAGAGTTGATTCTTATCAATGGGTAGGTAGCTTTGTAGGCTTGTAGAAGAGCGAGCGTGCTAACTGAGAGGCGGAGTAATCAGGCATTTGGCTAAAGTTCAGTAGCCCCAGAAGAGTTTGCAATAGAGAAAGGGAGTAGAAACATGTGTGGCAGCTCTCCCAGCTCCACCACCCCATCTCTGGCCAGAGCGGGACCCAGCACCTTCCTGGGTCCCTCCCGGGTCCTCTCCTGGGCCATGTCCACCGCCAGCTGCTATGCTCCCAAGGAGGCGCAGGCCACACAGTGGTGGACAGTGAAACACAATGTTTCATGGTTGATCTTCTGAACTCCTGTCTGAGGTCAGAGAAATGCAGCAAATTCACACCCAAGCTTCTAAGGGAGGCCCGCATTTTCCTCCAGTTGAAAAGACTTGTTCAGAAAGCCAACAAAGGCTGCAAAGTGCCGGGCTGCGAAGCTCTAAGGCCTGTGGCTGAACGGCACTTAGGCCTCCTGGACCCAAATATTTGAAGAAATGGAGACGATCTGGAGAGCACGGTGGAGCTGTCGTGGCTTGCCACAGGCCAGGCTTCAGGGAGCAGAGTGCAGCTTGCTGGAGGCACCCACCTCTCCCGTGCTAATTAGGGCCACCTGTGTGGCTGTGCGCGCGCAGGAGCATCACCTCTGAACCCCGGCAAACTTCGGTAAATGAAAACAAGTAAGGAACCCACATCATTGAGGACACCTCTGACACGTCTGTCTACACCAAAGCATCTTCCTGTCTGGCATTTTCCTTTTCAAGGGTTTGACTGGGTGTGGCCAAGGGCTTTCCAGGGTCAGACCAGGACCTGAGGCCTGAGCATTTAAGTCCTGTTTTACAAAGAGGACCCCTTCTTAGAGAGAGGGGGCCAGGAGCCCACTCTCTTTTCAATGGCTTGTGGCAAACACACCTCTGAAGGTCCACAACCACCAGCCTGGGCTCTCAGGACACAAACGAGCCGAAAGCCTCCAGGGAGGAGATGCAGAGAGAGGAACAATGCCACAGAAGCCGGGCTCCATAATGGAACCACAGCTCAAGTGCCTTAACCCGGCAGCTGGAGCACCAGCTTCAGCCACGCTGTTGGTACCTCCACATCTTAATGGAAGCCACCCCAGCCTCAGCCATGACCTCCTTCAGCCTGAGATGATGTCAGAAGTTTACTGGATGTTTGGGGGCCCATGGAGGACCAAGTAGACACCACCATTACTAGGCCCTTGCATGCCATTGCCAACGGCTCATGTGTTTTTTATGTATGTGTGTATTCTCTGCAAGTATTGTTTTGTTGATTTTAAATGACACATTTACATTTCTCACTAACATGAATCACACCCCCAATTAATGTTGATGACAGAATTATATATGAACTGAGTGGAGAAAGGGTGCAACTAATGTTGACGACCAGGAATCATTTGGTTTCATTACTGGTTCTCAGTGAAGGTGAAATGAGCAGGCAGCAGCTCACAGCATCTGCACTTCATCTGTGTTCCCCTGCACCCCAGGAGCTGGCGTGATGCCTCATTGAGAAGAGGGTAGGGGGATGCTTGCCCCACAAGAGTTAGACTCGCAGTGGTTGAAAGGAAGCGTTACAGGCCTAACAGAGGCCAAGGGTCAACCCCCTCTTTGAGGAAGATCATGTCGGTAAGAAGGAAGACAGTGGAGCTACTAGGAAACAGAAGGGCCAGGAGACCGTGCGTGTTTTAAATTAGGTGGGTTGCGCAACCACAGGGCTCCACACTGACACACAAAACAGGTAGTGCTGTGCACAAGCAGCTTGTTAACTTCCCCTTTCTAAAAGCTGCCTGAACAGTTGTTTTGCTGGAGCCTCTGTCCTTTTAATAAGAGCCAGAGGGTTTACCTGTCATCAGACACCCAGCTACTTCTAGGGCTTCAGTCGTGCTGGCTGTGTGTGTGTTGTGTTGTGTGTGTGCTGTGGAATTGGCAGACATCAGCCTCCCTCGCCCTTTCACCTGCCCATGTCACGGGGATGCAGGTTCACAGGTTTGTAAAGTCACCGTAACAAGATGTTCTACCTGGCGCTTCAGGAATCACTGCCTTGTAGATGGTGCAAGAGGAAGCAACACATTCAAGTAGCTGATGAGGCTAAATTGGGATGTGTCATGACCACCACCAGAGACTGTTAGAAATGCAAACAGCTTCCTGGAAAAATACAAGCTGGACTGGAGAAGGGGTGAGGGAGTCCAAGAAGCTGTGGAGAGGGTCGCTGCAGCACCCCCTGGAAGCAACAGTGTCAGGGAGCACTGGATGGGGTGAGATTGGGGTGCAAGGCGCATGGCAGATAAGGGAGCACCGGGGACTCTTCTGTGACCATGTCTGCTGGGGGGCACCCTGGACATCAGGGGAGTGGACCTGGCCACGTGCGGAGCAGCCCTGTGTGTCAGCCCTCAGCACACCATCCTGATCCCCCAAGAACTCTGGGTGCAGGAGTTAAGTAGCTCAAAGCAGTTACAAAATTGCCAGGGACCAAGCAACTCAAAAGTAGCAAACTGGGGTGTATGTAGCCCTTCTCCAAACCAACTCCCCAGTCTCTCTACGGTGTAACTCACCAGCACTTGGTGAGTGAAGGGGATACCTCACCGTCCAGGGTGAGCAGGAGCGTGACAGTGACCACTGGCTGTGTGTTGGCCGAAGACACACGAGGGGAGGGAGACAGGACAGACCCCGGTGTCCAGCCCAGCCCTGCCTCTAAGAGCCGTGTGACTTCCATGGGTCTCACTTAACCTCTCTGGGCCTTCGGTCCCCAGCTACAAAGTGGGTGAGTGCTGTCCTCCTAGCTGGGGAGCTGTGCCGTTAAGTGGACAGAGTGTGGCTCTTGGTGACCGTGGGGCCGTCGCAGGGTCACGTGGGACTCTGAGCCCGGCTGTCACATGCGCTGCGGGCTTTAGCTGTCTCCGCTCAGCTCCCGTTTCATCACCTCCTGCACTGAAATGCGCACCCCGTTAACCCTGCACCCCTGGACATACCCGGAATGACCGGCTCGTCTGCAGGGAGCGGGGCTGTGTCCAGCCGGCACAGCCACCTCAGGGCCCGCCTTTGTCTAGCAGCCTAAAAATTAGCTCTGAAGGAAAGAAATGATAGGCCCTGAATGAAAACCAAAGGAAATGCGGGGTGACCACACCCCCGGGAGCACAGAGCCCTGTCCAAATGCCTAAGTGGAGGCAGGGAGCACTGCCGAGGTGCTCAGTCCCACCAAATTCAGGGGCCCCGGCCACCAGCGCTGTGTTCAACTTGGCTTACAAATTTGAGGGTTCTCATGACTTTCTTCAGCTTTGGGGATTCCCTGGGGGTGGGGGTCACAGCTCAGCAAAGCACCCCTGATGTGGAGTCTCAGGGGTGAGAGGGCTGAGAGGAGGAAAGCATCGGGCAAAGTGGGTGAGGGTCACAGAGCTTCCTGGCTTTCTTGGGGCGCATGCCCTGCACATCAACCCTGAGAGGCAGAGTGTTGCACCCACAGAGCTTCCTGGCTTTCTTGGGGTGCATGCCCTGCACATCAACCCTGAGAGGCAGGGTGTTGTCTCAGAGTTTTACAGGTGCAGGCAGGCATGAGAAACTTGCTGGTCACGTGAAGGAGCCCATGGCCCACCCCCACCCCCCATCAGAGGGTGAGACTGGAAGTTCCAACCCTCTCAGCAAGTGCTTGCTCCCTGGGGTCCCCCGAGCCCCATTCTGAAGCGCTTTAGTCACCCCAGACCCTAGGAGTCACTCATTAACATAAACTCGGATTGGGGGAAAATGGGCTCCTTTGGAATAACAGAGACTCTCCTGCCCCTCAGAATTCGAGGTGCGGGAGTTCTGTGCAGCAGGCGGGAACAAAGGCCGTGCCTGGGCGTGACGGTACCACAGCCCGCCTGGACACCGGTCTCTCCCAGCCAGTCGGGGCTCTGAGGCTCACGGAGCCATTGAGTTCGGCTGGTGTGAGAGACGCCATCTCGGCCAGCTCCCCGCGCCCGCGGCTGCCCTGGCCCGGGCGTCTCGGGTGGGGGGTGACCCGCCGAGCCTGGGGTGCCCAGAGGAGCCCCCACCTGGGTCGGCGTAACATCCTGGCCCTGCTGTTTTCAGACTCGAGAGACGCTTCCGTTCTGGATGAACAGCACTGGCAGGAGGGACGGCTGGCAGCAGGGCTGGCATGGCTATGACAACGAGCTCATGGACATGAGGGGCATCTTCCTGGCCTTCGGACCCGGTAGGCGGGGGCGCGGGGTGGGCGCGGGGCATCTTCCCGGCAGGCGGGGGCCGACTCTTTACGGACCCTCTTTCTGAGCAAGGCTGAGCCAACCCAGCCGGCCTGCATGAAGCTCTCTTGCTGGCTTCCTTTCAAATGCTTCTTGGGTTTGGCAAATGTGACCAAATACTTTTCCTTGTAAATTTCTTGAGTGGCGTGAAGAAAATGTATCCCACATGTTTGCAATTCATTTTTTATAACCGAATTCATCAAAACGTTATTTCACAGCTGTCTGGTGTCCAGGAAAGCTGGTCCGACACCAGGTTGCAGACAGCTGTGCCCCGAGGTTGGCACGGGGCTCTGGGGCGCGCTCTTCCCTGCTCCTTTCTGTCTAGCGCTCCCCAGGGGTCTTTCCGCTGAGGGTCCACCCAGAAGCCGGGGTGCCTGTAAGGGCAGACTGGGAAATGACCTGGAGACTGTCTTTGAGAATGAGCCAGAATAACTAGCGACGCCTTGCATGAAAGCCTTCCTGGACCAGATGAATCTCTGGAAGAGAAGCGACTTGGAGAGGGTCTATCTGGCTATTTGCCATCATTAGTAAATCACTGTAAATTCACATTTTGGAAGGGTTTATCAAAGGCTCTGGAGTTCATGCTATTATCTGAACACCCCCTTCTTCAAAAAATGGGGAAGGGGGAGCAGCCATCAGCTCAGCCGGCTTTGAACGGCTCTCCTTGCTCACCGCGGTCTGCCCTCCTGAATAAACACAGCGAGCTCCCCCCGACAGCCGTGTTCCAGACGCCTTCTTCTGGACGTCGTCCCAAACATTTTACTCCGTGAATGTCCACGCCTTACTTGCAAATGAGAGGTCGGGCCCAGAAAGTCTGCGCCGTTCCTCGATGTAATAAGACAAATGCATATGTCACTCAGCAGCGAACAGCTGCCGGACTACAAGGTGTCAATTTCGACACCCTCACAGATGCCAGAGGGAACCTGAGCTTGGGGACACACTGGCTCCACCCTTTCCCACACGCGCCCGGGGTTCCCTGTCCCGAAATAAGCTCAGAGCCAATAGCAGCAAATGTTTATTGCGACCAACTGGCGTCGTGGCGTTGACCCGAGAGTTCCGAGGGGAGCCAGACACCCTGTGGTCGCCAGAAGTAGCTGTCAGTGCCCGCTGCAGCCCGGCTGTGGGTGAGACTCAAAGCCACAGAGTGAAGGGTGGGCTTTGGGGGCCACTTTGGATCTGCGTGGCACGGCCTTCTGGAGAACGTTAGACGGAGGCTTTCCTTCAAAAGCACTGCCTCCGCCTTCCCCAGAAGAGAGATATGAGGTCGCGGACACAGGACAGTGGTCAGCTGAAGGAGTGTTTATGAGCCACAGTCTCAGGCAGAAGCCAGGCTGGCCTGAACCCCTCATTCCCAACAAAGTACCCAAAGCTGCATCAGTTTAATGTCAAACTCAGCAGGGAGATACTGTCCATGCAAACAGCCTCTAAACTAATACTCCCGGAAAACTCAAAGCCTTTTCATAGACAGGAAGATGAGGCTGGAAGGAAATAGACTGGACTAATAGCAAAAATGTTTCCAGGCAGACCAGCCCCAGCTCTCCCACAAACTATGGGTTGCTGGTTGCTGGCTCCGACCCTATTGAAAGGTTGAACAGCTCAGAAGAAAACGTAAAAGCAAGGCTTCGGGCAGCCACCTCGCCGCCTGGAGGGAAAGGAGCAGGGTCCTGATGAGCCTCCCACCAGGGGCGGAGCATCCGAGGCCGCCCCCCACCACCATCTCCCCTAGACAGCTTTCAGAGTTGGTCGGTCTGGGCCAGCAAAGAAAAAATCACTCCAGAAGATGGCCTTGTTCTGGTTAATCCCAGGTTCTAAATTGAACCACCTAATCTTGCCCTGGAGAACTCCACATTCAAGATAAGCTGTGACGGACGTAGCTAGCTGCCTGCCAGCTAGCCAGCCTCCCCCGGAGGGCCCCCCACGTGGCCACACAGCCAGAGCCAGAGGAACCCCCCTCGCTAGGAGAAATGACTTGAAGAGCACCCGAAGTTTAAACCCATGGAAAAAACTTGACTTCCCATTTCAGGTGGAAACGCGTTGAGCTGGCAGAGCGTGCCTGGGATCTCTCAAACGGGAGCATGTGTTGTTTTGCTATACGTGGAATTTTCTAGAAGCTCTCACTTCATTCTGGATCTATTTCTGCATTGGGCCCTCAGTCCCATCTCTGCAGATACAAAATCTTGAACTAGAAGTGATGGGAAAAGAAGGCCAGTGACACTTCCTGCTTGCACAGGGCTGGATTTTGCACTGTTGGTGGAAAAACATCGTTCCTAGCATTTTTGTCACGAGCATTTGATCTCAGTTTTTCTTGCTAAGTGTTCATGAAGTGGATGTTTGAGAGGCTGGGGAAGGTTCACTATTGTCTGTGACACCCTCTTAATTGCCTCCAGCCCCCAGCCACACACCTCACAGCCCCCCTGGGATGGTCTACCCTGGGGCTTGACATCCACACCTGTGTCAGGTCAGTGGGATGAGAGGAGATGCTCTCTGGGACAGCTGATTCTCAGGCTGTGGCTGATTCTTCTTTAGGGAAGTTAACCCACACACCTCACCTCCCTGTAAGCTTTGTCTTGTTGGTAAGAAGGGCTGGCATACCCAGGCATCTCCCTGCTCCCCGGGGAGGTTCTTGATTTTCTTAAAAACTAGTTCTTACCCGGCGGTGATGCTAATTCTAATTATCCACCCTAAACACAATTTATAGGGTGACTATTTCCACACAATTTATAGGGTGACTATTTCCAATCGTAGTTTGCCCTTTGCTGGGCACTTAGTCTGAGTGTTTACTAGTAATCACAGTTTGCCTGGAAGTAGGACCTTGGGACCGCTTTTCCTGCCAGTTTCTTGAGGTTGTCCAGCTAACAAGCACTGCAGGCTGGCTGCAGGGTCCGTGAGGCACTTTATCCTAAAACCAACTTCGATTCTCCACAGTAACAACATCCGTCACTTGGGAAGTTGCCCCAGCTCTAACACGGTGGCAGAGACCTCTGTAACTCCCTTCTGTGTTTATAACTTCAGGGTTAATGTAAGAGCCAAATAGGGTCCTGGCACTTCTGGGTTATGTTGCTGTCAGTGTTTGCTTTTTAAATAAAGTTTCTACAATCCTTTTAGCGAAGCAATTATACAGCTGTTTTCTAAGAAAACAGAAAACTTGGCTCGACAGCCTCCCACACAACCTATTTCCTTGAAAAATCTTAGCTGGACTAAAGGCACATGTACCGGCCTTTATTGATGGGGAAATGTCTTTCTTGAATTCCACCTTCATGGAGCTGTGGGTATTTTGTAGGAAGCTGTGGATGTGGGTTGGTGAACCCTTGAGTCTGCACTTAAAGCTGCGAGCTGCTTTGCTTTCAGCATCTTATCTGCTTCCTGCTGGGAAGGGAGCAGTACAGCCCTTGGTCCTCACGGAAACCCCTCCATTCCCTTACCTGGCACCATCTCCTCCCTTTCTATTGCAGCTGAGTGTTCTTCACGAATTTCCAAACCTTCTCTTGGCTCCCCAGGGCAACACAGGTCCTTACTTCCCACGTGGCTGAGGTGCCATTTTCCAGCGCCCCCTTGATCTGTGCATCTAGGAGACCATCGAGGTCACCACCAGTTAGCCAGAGAAGGAAACCCTACAGTTTCAACTTCACCAAGCCCTGCGGCCTCAGAGTGGAAGGAAAATGGAGAAAGCTTCCTGAGTTGCCGTGGGTCGCCCGCGGGGGAGCAGGCAGCCTGGCTAACGGCCCTGAAGATAGGGGTTCTGGGAGATAGCTTTTAATTGCGTTTGGGGGAGCCCAGTCAAACCGCCAAACTTTTGTGACTCCCCCGCTCTCCGGGGCTCTGCAGAACAGCGTCTAGTGGCCCTTCTAGAAAGCTCAGTTGTCACAAAGGGAACATGGCAAGACACAAAGACAGGCCGATTTGTCTTCGAAAGAAAGTCACCTCCAGAGTCATCAGCACTGCTGCCTGTCCCTTGGAGCTCGCTGGGGACTCTTCAAGGGCTCCGCCCACGGAAGGCAGATTCTCCAATCCCAGGGGTGCCCTTGACTGGCCCCGCCCCCAGAAGGCAGATTCTCCAATCCCAGGGGTGCCCTTGACTGGCCCCGCCCCCAGAGGCTGATTGTCCAATCCTAGGGTCGCCCTTCACTGGCCCCGCCCCCTACAAGGCTGATTCTCCAATCCCAAGGCTGTCTGGTGCCCAAGCGAATCCCCCATATGGTGACTCAGCCCTTCGCCCACTGTGACTCAGCCCTTCTCTGGTGGGGAGGGAGGGTCACAGCGACAACTCGCTTGCCTTTCCCTTTCAGATTTCAAGTCCAACTTCAGAGCTGCTCCGATCAGATCCGTGGATGTCTACAACGTCATGTGCAGCGTGGCCGGCATCACCCCCCTGCCCAACAACGGCTCCTGGTCCAGGGTACAGTGCATGATGAGGGGCCAGGCCAGCTCGGCCCCCAGGGCTGCGGGCAGCTGTGTGCTGGCCGCGCTTCTCCTCCTGCTCCAGGCCTAGCCCCTCCTGCTGTCCCCACTCAGCCCAGTGTGTCCCCCACGCTGGCCTCGTCGTCCATTTGAAATTTGAATAGCTTCATTAACACAATCAAGGTCATACACACTATAAATATATTATTCTTTTATGATTCTATACATAACGGCATACTTGGGAAGAGGAAAGCCCAAAGTTGGTTGGTTCCTGGAGGTAAGGAGAGTCTGGCACTAGTTTTCCCTAGGGGGTCCTCGTCTGTGCTTTGTCCAGCCCCTAGTCACCTGCCGGCGTGTGGCCGCAGCCCTGGCCTGCTCCTGTCCCCGGACACGGAAGGAAAGCAAAAGCTGCCGTTGGTTGTGGGCCGGCTGGCGGAGCCTCTTCTCTGGAGTCCAGCGAGGAGGGTCCTTTGCTTGACATCACCAACTGGTCAACGTCACACGGGGCTGGAGAACTCACAGGACAAGGGGAAAGCCGGGTTTCCTCCTGGAGTCTGCGGTGTGCAGCACCTTTCCGTCCTCAAAGAGCAAGACAGCTTGCATAGTGATACTGCACGTGTTAGCATGCTGCTCGTAGCAGGCCCTGTGTGTCGAGGCTGGGTTGGCACATTGCCAGCTTACTCAAGACCGTCTCCTCTGCATCCCCACAGGGGGCCTAGACCGTAGGGACAGATGTATCATCACAGGCTGGACAGGGAGATGAGAATCTGGGTGTAGTTGCAGAAATATCAGCTCAGTGTTGGGAGACGCACGAAGTCTTAGTTACGTGTCCCTACGGCCCTGGAGCAAGGCTGGTTCAAGTGACAGCACAGGGAATCCCCGAGTGACCCAGATCCCAAAGAAAACTGTAAAGGAGGGTAGGGAAAGGAGAGAACGTGAGGTTCCCTGTCACCACCCAGTTAGCCGTGTCCTAGCAAACAGGCAGAGCACAGATGCCCCTCTGAGGCCCACATCTTTGAGAAGAGTCGTGAGACCTTGAAATGTTTTCAGTTTCATCTTCTACATTTGCTGTGTGAGATCTTCCTGTAAAACAAGGGCTAGCTGTGGTTTTCAGCCACCAGGGTCCCATAGCTACACGTGGGCTGTGTGACATACGTGCCTGTGACGTCCCATCTCTCACCAAGGGATATGCCTGTCATGGGTGCTATCCTGTCCGAGTAGGTGCGACTCATCTGCCAGGGAGGCTTTTCCTAGGACAAGACCAGACACCTGGTCCCAGGACGACGAGCGCTTGGATGGTGTTTACCTTGCGAAGTGACAGCACTTGGTTTAAGGAGGCTGGCAGTCCCCTGTGCCTGGCTTCATGAGAACAAAGGTCACTGCTTAAAAGTATTGAATTTACCTTCATAAAAAGTTCTGAAGATTGATGCCATATGTTTCCTGAGTGCCAGCAAACCAGTGGAGTCAACTGGACAGAAGGCAAACCGGCCCACTCTCTGGTGAACAAGACGGGGCTTTCATGACCCGCTTCAGTCCCCTTCTCTGTCATGCACAGTGTCCGGATGAGGTCAGTTAGCCAGACACTGCTTATCTTTCCCTGTCTGTCCTACCATTGTCCCTCCTTGTCAAAATCGTCAAGTGAATAAAATTTCAGTACTCGTCTGACAATGTGTAGTTACTCGTTAAGTAATTCTAAGCAGATACTTTTGGAACCATGAAAGTTGATAAATAATAAAGCAAAATCAGGGACTGAATTAAAAAAAATTAAAATCTAAAATTGGGCCTAAAATAATGCATGCAAGTTAGCAACTTAACTATTCATTTTTCCTTTGATTTTTGTTTAAAATCACATTATTTCTCCAGGGACAGTCTTTCTCTAAATGTGTTTTGTTCCATAGCAGAAAACTTTGCTACGAATGTCTAGACACTTTTTCTCCTGTATTTTTTAACTACTTCACTCCGATTCCAGGAGGAAGATCAGTGGGCTGACCTACAAATACTGAAGCTGAGTGAAAGCAATGCTCTGAGAACTGAGGTGAATGGCTCCTTCTCAGTTCACAGGCCTAATCTCCAGGACTCAGCTCAGGGAAATTCAGAAGAATTAAGCTCTAGGACAGTCCCCTGGAATTCTTTCTAGCCTACAAGCACCTGAAATTTTAGAGTCCTAATTCTTTACTTTTAAAGGGTCCTGGAAACCCCACGAGAGATCTACATTCTGTTCCAGAATACTTAAGTTTGCAAACGTTCCAAGGCCATTGTCAGCTGCCCACTTACAGAGAGGTAGGTTCTCAGGGAATTGAGGGGCAGCATCAGTACCTTTTGGGGTCCTCCTGTCCTTGGGGTTGGGTTTGTTCTCAGAAATCGGTTTTGATTGGACCCTGGTTAACCTGAGCCCCCCGACAGTTACATCATAATTAGCCAGTTTCTCCAGCAACCCTCTGTTGGCACTGCCTGTATGTTCCACCTGGACACGTTCCCAGCCGCCCTCAAACCAAAGCGTGCGTGAGAGCCTCGAGTGGAAGAGGATCTGAGAGTGGCAACCTGGTTCTCACCACACTCCACTCCTGTGGGCGTAAGATGCCCATGGTGCTATCAGACAAGTTCACTGTTCAATTTACGTGATGGTTTTATGGATTTTCTAAGATAGTGTTTTCACACATCTGTAGATATCAAGAGATTTCCAAATATGATTGTGTGTTCAATCTTTTTACACAGTTTGTGACAGACCAAAGTCAGCTCTTAGGAGTTTCTTGTTGGGAGGAGCGGAGGTGTTACCCTCGGCAGACAGGCCACACGACATTTGAAACTTGGTCTCGGCTATGTTCTGCGGAGCGTGGGCATTTGTGTGGCACGGTCATCACGAAATCACACCCCATGCAGAGCCTCAAATGCTTCATGAGTGCCCCTACCTGTGTGTTGAATGAAAAAAGAATATCTTCAAGGAGGCTGTTTGTACCTCTGCATTCTCTCGTCTTTAGCACCTCAAATTAAATGAAATTTTCCCACCAAGCTTGCGATCTTCTCTCGTCACCCAACTGACAATATATATTGTCATCCTAGGTTTTATGAAGTAAACATATTCTGTATCAGGCTGATAAATCTGAGTTAAGGAGGGAAGGAGGAGACTAGATTTAAAATATAAAGTAAGCATATTTACTTTAAACAAATACAACAACATTACGAGTTTCAGTCCCACCACACCTCCCATCTGTTCAAATATGACAAATAGTTCATGTCTTTGCCACAGTCCCAGGGCTGTGTAACCATCACCATCGTCAAGTTCAGAACATTCTCATCACTGCAGACAGGACACCATACCCATTAGTACCTGAGCATCCTCTCCCCCAGCCCCACCCCCGGAAGCCACAAACTACATTCTCCACCCACAGAGCTGCCTAATTGAGATGTGGAACCACAGTGTGGTCTTTCGTGGACTGGCTATTTCCCCTCAGCGGAATTTTCAAGGCGGCAGCTGGAGTCAGCTCTTCATCCTTTTTATTTTCTAATAATGGTCCATGTATTCTTTTTTCATTCAACACAGGTAGGGGCACTCATGAAGCATTTGAGGCTCTGCATGGGGTGTGATTTTGTGATGACCGTGCCACACAAATGCCCACGCTCCACAGAACATAGCCGAGACCAAGTTTCGAATGTCGCATTGCCTGTCTGCCGAGGGTAACACCGCCCTTCCAACAAGCAACTCAAGTATAATTATTTGAGTTCAGAGCTGTCTCGGAGAAAATTTACCTTGTGTGGAATGGGTCCCACAGAGAAGGTTCAGACGGGAGAGACAGATAACAGTACATGGGACAAACTTTGTCATCGGTGAAGTTGCGCTTCCCCAATAGAGGCGTCCAATATGCCCACACCCTGGGATACTATTCAACCATCGGAAAGATGAAATACAGCCACGTAGAGAAAAACGGAAAGAGTTGAGGGAGCCATGGGCAGCAAATGCAAGTCAGCACGACAAAGCCAAATAGTGAACAGGCAGATCATTCAACAAAGTAAACTATGAAAACTAACCGACATTGATAAACAAAGTGAGGTTTTCTAGGTCAGGAGGGAGTGGGGAGGACGCACTGGTCAAGGGAGATCAGGGGTAGCAGTGGGGGGAAAATTAGAAGGGATGGGCCCTAATGTCTGGTGACCATGAAGGTGACCTGATTTAGAAATAGAATCTTGGCAGATGTCATCAAGATGAGGTCATACTGATCAGGGGGAACTCGCCTCAGTGAGGGTGTCTTAGAAGAGGAAAGTTTAGTACAGGAGACCCAGGGACAAAGACCACATCATGAAGGGGGCAGAGTTTGGGGTGAGCACCTATAAGCCAAAGAACTCCCAGGATTGTCAGCAGCCTGCAGTGGCTGGACGGAACAAGGAGGGATCCGGTCGAGAGCCCCCATGGAGAACAGGGTGCAGCTGACGCTGGATTTCCTACCGTTGGCTTCCAGCCTCGGAGAGAGCACAGCTCAGCTGTTTCGAGCGCCCCAGATGGTGGCACTTTGTGACAGCGGCCCACACGTAGCCTTTGACGTGGCTTTCGGAGCCACTCCAGACATCAGAGACTTCTTGAGCCCCTCCTTCCGACGAGCACAGTGCTGCTTGGGGATCCACAGACAAGAAGGTGAGCACCCCTGTGTCCAGTCATTTCATTTTACACTTGTTGAGCGCAGTTGCACTCTTATTTCCATGGGACAAGATGTTTCCGCCGCTACAGTGATGCATGGAGGGAATTTCATAGAAAACAGGACCCAGCAAGAGGTCGCTGGCTCTGGAGCAGATGGCCTGGGGGCCGGAATCTGGCCTGCCGGACCCCTGACAGTACTCTCCCCGCTGCCTCTTTGGGGTTCCTGCTTTTAATCACCTGCCACCCCCACCGCAGCCTGCCACATGCCCTGTCTGCGGAGATCAGAGCCTGAGGAGGCCATTACTCCCTGCTTCCCAGCCACCTGCTCGCACCAGCCAGTAGACTTAATCCCAAAGTCAACCTCCATCCTTGCCGAGGGTCTGGCTTGCTCCCCGAGGGTCTGCTTGCTCCCCGAGGGTCTGGCTTGCTCCCCGAGGGTCTGGCTTGCTCCCCGAGGGTCTG